AAGTCATGCACTAGGGCCTCTAGGGGCCTAACGCTCCCGCCAGGGCCTCCTTGGGCTCTGGCCTACTATCTGGCCGCCTCGGGAGGGGCCGTACACTCACTGACGCCTGCATAATTATAATGCTGATGATGCGAATGGTGGTGATGATTGTTACGATGGTGATGGAAATGATGATGGTGATGCTGGTGTTGCTGGTGGCGATAGAGGAGGGGAGGCGGGGGGCGGGGCCATAGAGGGACAACTGCGGCACATAGGCAACTCTAGACACATACGGATCCGACGCCCCCCAAGAGGGGGCAGTGCGGAGGGCGAAACCCCATGAGTGGGGGGCCTACCAGTAGCCGTCGCAGACGACAAGTTAGGCGCGCCGGCGACGGGCCACTGGAACCTGCCGCCCTCCAGCATCGCGATGATGAGCAACACGCCCCCCCCCCCCCCCCCCCCCCCCCCCGCCCCCCCCCCGCGCCCCCCCCCCCCCCACACCCCCCCCCCCCCGCCCCTCCCCCCCCCCCCCCCCCCCCTCTCCCCCCCCCGCCCCCCCCCCGCCCCAGCACGGCCAAGACGGCGGAGAAAAACCGGCCGCGAAACCAGAGCACGGCGCCCCTCGATCATGCCGATTAGCATGGGCAGGTGCTTCTCGTCCGAGCTGAGGGTACCGAACAGCTTCGCGTCCGCGGACGGGATCGACGAAATGGTCGGAAACTCCGCGTCGACCGCCGCGCCCTTGCCAACCACCGCGGGCGTCGGAGCAGCGGCCGCACCAGCAAGAACAGCAGCAGCAGCCGCAGCAGCAGCAGCAGCAGCGGGCACCAGGGCGGGCGACCCCTCCGCAGACGGCGCAAAAGCCTGCTCCAACTCGTCCACCGCCATGGCCACCCGATCGACCAGCTGCGCGGGACGCGCTCCGCCAGCCCACTCATCATCGACGCTCGCCTCGGACGGCGGCCCAGCGGACGCACCGACGAGAGGCCCAGCACCGCCTCCAATAACAACAAGCAGCTGAAGTGCAGCGCGAACCGCACCTACCTGCCCAGCGCCCGCAGCCGCACCAGCGGCGTCACGCAGTCGTTGCGCGAGGCGCTGACGGCGACGGCGGCGCCGCTCCAACTTGGCCGCCGAGACGGCCACGGGAGCAGCAGCAGCAGCAGCAGCAGCAGCAGCAGCATCAGCAACATCATCATCATGAACGGCACCGGGGGTCGCAGCGGCAGCCGCAGGCGGCGCTAGCCGATCCCGCAGCGCGAAGAGCGCGTCGATGACGGCCGAGCACGCCACGGTAGCAACCGTGTGCCGTGGTGCCTTGGCAGCCACAGCGCCACGCACCGCAACCTTGACGAGAGCAGCAGCGTACGCCATGGGAGCCCCTCCAAGCTCGGGCCCGCCGCGGAGGGGGCGCCGAGCCGTGCGACCGGTTGAACCAAAATGGGGGAGGAGGGGGAGGAGGAAAGGAGCAGGAGGAGGAAAGGAGCAGGAGGAGGAGGAGGAAGAAGCAGGAGGAGGAGAAAAGAGACGCGGGGCGCGCTCTCTACAACAAAAAGACCCATCACCACAAGACTGTTGGGAATAACGAGAAGCCCTCCTCTTCATCCTCTGGAACCGGACCCATGTGCTCTCTTTTTTGTTGTTATCTCTCTCTCTCTCTCTCTCTCTCTCTCTCTCTCCTCGCTGAGACAAGCAGTTCTCCGTGCAGTTCCCCTCAGGCCTCCACAATGCTCGCGAAATGCAACTCGCGAAACACCCAGGGACCAACAAGACCTTCGCGCGCGGCACACTCATACCAGCAGACATATCACTACCCACACTCCGCTTTGACTGGGAGCGGGCTACCACGGAAGCACCGTAAGGAGCAGCAGGCCTGAACGCTGGTAACCGCCACCAGGTTCACCTATGCCGATGGGTAGCAAGCGTTGCTCCACGGCGACATTGAGAGAATGCTCAAGAAGCCGGAAGACCCTAAGGGTTTGGCGAGGTGGCGTAAGCCTGATATCATTCCGCTGCGAAGCTGCTGCAGCCACGAAACCAACCCATGGTGGCCTTCGAGCGAGACAACTGTCAGGTCAAACCAGCTTGTCATGGCTTGCATGTGCATCCTCACAATGGATGAACGGTGTGTCTTTTCTGGCTAAAGCATGGTGAAGCAAACGATCAACAAGGCGATCACCTGCCACGGCCTGGATCGGCTCCCCGTTCAGAGACTACCATGCTGCCGAGCTGCAGCGAGGCAAGATATGGCTGTACAAATGGCTCGCCTCGACGACTCGTGTGGCACAACTCTACTGGCTCCTGAGGAGCAAGCGCTGCGTGGACACCAAGGGCTCTGCACAGCTGGCCGCGGCTGAAGTACCTTTGGGGAGCGAAGGCAGACGAGGAATGCGAAAGCATAGCTACAACGCTGTCCCACAACGAACAACAGCACAATGCGAGTGCGCGGGGCTCCATGGAACCTTGCTCCAGGGAAGCAAATGAGCAATGATATTGGGAGCGCCAATGGGAAGCGCGCAAGAAAAGCTGGAGCCAGTGATATCGCGGTGATGGCGGGACGTTCGCCCACACACGTGCCAAGCGTCGATCTCGATCTGCTGCCCTTGCGATTCCTGAATCGTCGGGCGGCTCCTTCCCTTTACGGGGGTTCTGCGCGCAAGCCGCAAGCCCCTTGCTGCTAGCCCCCGACATGTGAGAATGCAAGCGGGCCTTTTCTCCTGCGGCCCCGAGGATGTACCAATCTGCTCTCGGCCCGATTGGGATTGTAGCGTCCGCGGTAAATTCGCCGAGAGCACCACGCTCAACCGTCATGCGACTATGACCCGTTGCGCAGGACATCTCACACAAGGGGGAGGGGCGACGGTGTCCTCAGAAGACAGGGCGGCTTCTCAGAGAACAGCATGCGTTCCTAGTGACCCCCTCCTTCTTGGGGGACCGCTCCCCCTCGCCCACTCCCTCGCGAGCGCCACCAACCCGCTCGCCTGAATCATCCTGACAACCTGCGTGCAAAACTACCCGTGCGCATCCCCTGCTTGCCCGACTTCGCGAGGACGCCAACTGTCCACATTCACCCCTGCTGGTCTTGCCCAGGGATGGGCGAGGCCAGCGTCGGTGTAGGTGCAAATCGGAGGAAAAGCAATTCAGACACAAGAATCCTAGAATCATCACGGAAACCATCCTGACAAATGTTTCAACGCGGATTCAGCCGTGTCGACGAGAAGCCTCCAGGATGCTCAGATGAACGGGAAACGCCAGGATGCCCAAGGGCCAGGATGCCCAAGGGCCGCCGTTGTCTCGACTACCCCTGCTCCGATAGCTGACGCCCCCTAGCAAACGGAGGTCAACGAATTACCCTGGCGAAGGGCCCAACCATATGCAGTTGTGAGTACCGCAGGGCAGGCGGGACGATCGAGGGGGGCCCCCTGTGGGGCCGCGAACCGCGTGAGACGGCGAACCGGGCGAGGGGTGTGCCAACATGGGGCGGATACTGCATGCGGACTGTGGGGGAGACGCATGCGATGACGGCCGCTGTGACCTTCGGTGGAGCTCCTCATGGGGACATGGAACGTGAGGAGCGTACCAAAATGGGCGGGGGAGGCGCGCGCGAGGACGGCCGCAGTTGCCTTCGGTGGAGCTCCCTATGCGGCCGCGAAGCGTGTGATGGGTGTGCCGAAATAGGTGGATCGGACGAATGCGGGCGGCGCCCCTGGGACCTTCGGTGGCGCTCCCTGTGGGGCCAAGATCATAGTGAGGGGTGCGCCGAAATGAGCTGGTCGGACGCATGCGGGCGGCGCCCCAAGGATCCTCGGTGAAGCTCCCTACGGGGCCGCGATCCTCGTGAGGGGGGTGCCGAAATGGGTGGGTCGGACGCGTGAGGGCGGCGCCCCTGGAACCTTCGGTGGAACTTCCTACGGGGCCACAATCCTCGTGAGGGGTGCGCCGAAATGGGTGGACCTTCGGCGGAGCCCCCCATGGGACCACGATCCTCGTCAGGAGTGTGCCGAAGAGGGTGGGTCGGACGCATGCGGGCGGCGCCCTGGGGCCTTTGAAGCTCCCTGTGGGGCCACGATCCACGTGGTGCTGGAATGGGTGGGCCGGGCACATGCGGCCGCAGCCACTGTGGCCGAAAGTGGAGCTCCCAATGGGGCCAAGATCCTCGTGAAGGGTGTGCTGAAATGGGTGGGTCGGACGCATGCGGGCGGAGCCACGATCCTCGTGACGGGTGTGCCGAACTGGGTGGGTCGGACGCATGCAGGCAGCGCCCCTGTGACCTTCTGTGGAGCTCCCAATGGGGAAACGATCCACGTGATGTGTGTGCAAATCGGTGGGTCGGACGCCTGCGGCCGCAGCCCGTGGGACCTTCGGTGGAGCTCCCAATGAGGCCGATCCTCGTGAGGGGTGTGCCGAAATGGGTGGGTCGGACGCATGCGGCCGCAGTCCATGGGACCTTTCTGGTGGAGCCTTTATGGGGCCGCGATCCTCATGAGTTGTGTGCCGACATGGGTGGGTCGGACGCATGCGGCCGCAGCCACTGGGGCCTTCGGTGGAGCTTCCTATGGGGCCACGCAGCGTGTGAGGAGCGTGCCATGATGGTGATGACGATGATGATGACGATGGTGATGTTGATCACGTGCGGAGAGAGGAGGCAAGGGAGGGAGGAGGGAGGAGGGAGAGCGGATGAGGAGGAGAGAAGGAGAGGAGCGCAGCGACTGCCTCTTCAACAAAAACAAGGACCCAACACCACGAGATGGTTGGGAAAAGCAGGACGGTGCCGTGCGGCATGAGCGAGGCGATGGGCATCTGGCGCTGCTCGCCGCTGGA